AAAGCTGGGATGCATAACAAGTAGCCAGAACACTAACATCGACTTTCTACCCTCGTTATATAAGCACGTCCATGCAGATGCGGCAGGAGGTGCTGGTAAAGGAGATCCCCCAAAACCGCGTTGGAAAATTCTCTCTCTCTCTCTCAAGAAGGAGAGGCCCACAGGTTCCTGGTTTAACGCTACTTCCATACAGCCACGGCAGACATCACTCTCTGCAGACAGACCCGCTGCAGCCCCCCCCAAATTCCCTTATTTGCAGAGAAGTCTCCATTGAGAGACTTTTCAACATTAAAAGGAGATAAAAGTAGGGAGGGTAATTATCTATGTTGGATTTTTAATGAACGATTCATACCCAGCATTGTGTGGTTTCTTGTACCATTTTTAGCTCTTGATATTTATACATCCAAACCCTAGCTCTCTGTAGCCAGTGGTAATACGCAATCTGATGACGTTTCTTATACGGGCAGCCTTCTCCACAGTTCTCTAGGTGCACATGCTCTGCAGTCTGCCACGTTCCCGGGCTCTGCCCCACGTGATGGTATTTACAGCAAGAGACCAAGGGCTTGCTCCCCGTAAGTGTCAAATGGCCTTTACTGACTTTCTGTTTCTTGCTTAGTTAGCACATTATTCTTCAAGGAAATACTATGCTTTCCCTAGCCTTGATCCGTTCTTTCTTTTCCATGATTTCAGACTGACCTATACCCCGTTCACATATTTGTCTGCTCATTTCAAGTGATGAATGATTTTCTGTTACTGCTGCATGTGCACTTTCTGAGCTTTCTCATCTTGTCTTAAATGCTACCTGAGCTGATCTTGAGCAGCCCACACTAACAGAGTTAAAAACACTACTCATTTCTACTGATTAAAAACTCCTAGTTCTCTCTTTGAATGCCACTTCCCACAAGCCTGTCTGCTGTGTTAAATATTCTGCCCACACAGGCTTCTCAATGCAAAATGCCAGCTTCTTCACCTCCCTAGAAAAGCTAAGTACCTTTACCATAAACTTACATATGAGTTTTTCTGAAGTGACAGCATCAGACCATTTTATTATGCCCAAACTTGCATGAACCAGGCATACAATGGGGAAAACCAAAATCTTTGCCTGAAGGAATTCCAACAAAATAAGGATTTAAATCTGAGGATTTGCAAACAGGTAAAGCAAAGGTGCATCGCATCTGGCCGGCGAAGGGCGGGCTGCTGTGGTGTGGCCACCGTGTCTGCATAGGGACCTCCATAATGCCATCTGTATGCTGGAAGCTGCCCGAAACAAGGCGCTCTCCGGGAGTGCCAAACAGCCGGACGGGCCCTTCCTTACACGAGTTGGTTGGGCGCGTTTTGGCCAGATGCCGATGAGGTTACACAGACTGCTGAGAGAAGGTCTGCTCAGAGCAGCTCCTCACCTCATAACGAGCCCGTGTGCCATTGTGCGCCTACAATGAAGACTAGAGAATCCCAGGCAAAACCACACAGAAGTTTTCGTTTGTAAGGATTCCAATAAAAGATTAATTAAAAAAAACCCCAACCAACACTACCAGGACACAAACACTACTCTACATCCTGCTTTACAGCCAAACACACAAATAATATACTCAAAAAACCAAATAAGCAGCAATAGGCTATAGGTAGGCCTCCAGCGTAACTTTTTTTTTTTTTTTGCTTCTTTAAGGTTATCAACTGTTGGAAGCCACAGCAGAAAAAGCTCAGTTGCCACCAGTGACCACGTAGGTCTGTCCAGCCTAGCCAGCAGCCTCGCTGCCCTGAGGTCCCCTTCTGGAGACAGATGGGGAGAGGGTCCCTGCTCACAGGGGTGGTCTCACCAGCCCAAGAGACGTTTCCTAAACACAAGACACTGCTTTAAAAGACTCACCTGACACCTTGCTTTCCAGAACATACTCAAGTAAAAGCACCACATACAATACAACAGAAATTGAGATAGCCTCAAAGAAAAAAAATGCAAATATACCTTTTTTCCCCCATCAATAAGTATTATCAGTAAAAAAAATGTTTTATTAAGGCATTGAAAATCTTAGCTTTTACCTCAACAATCTCAGTGCCTCTATGAATAGCAGTCACCCTTTTAACAAACATTGCCACTGAAGGTGAAAGGAGAGATTCGCCCCGAATTTGTAAGTGATTCCGGGGTGGGGCTAATAAGCGCAGCTGGAGCCTCCCTGTTCTGCAGAGTGACAACAAGCAAGAGAGCACGTGGAGGTGTGATGGGATAACGGGCTGATTTTTGTGATGGTGAGTTATTTTAGGAGTAAAATGTCTTCTTACAGAGAACAAGAAATCGATTTTATTTTTTCTTGGTTTTACAGCAGGACTAATGGAGCCGTGCTTATGATACCATTGACCGTGAGGCCTTTCTCATCAAAGCAAGTAATTGCCCAGCAGTTGCCAGCAAACCCTTATGGGAGAGCATGCATTTATATGCTAGGGAGCAGCTAAGACAATGTGCTCCCCTAGAGTTCTGTTATGTAAAAATTGAAAAGTATGTAGAATTCTGAACTTTCTAAAATTCAGATTTAAATAGTTAAATAATTTCTAAAGCTAGCAGGTAGGAACCATGGTGGTACTTGCCTGATGTAGGAAACATTTATCATTGTTTTCATTCTCTTGTGATTATTTATATCAAAATATTAACTTTTTAAATTATTGGTCTATGTATGACAACTAGTGTGGTCATTTGTTTTTTGTTGTTTGTTTTTTTTTTTAAGTAAAGCAAATGAGGATAACCAGACAAACGCATCAGGAACCTTTAAAGATGTTTGCTTTCTGCCCTTTTCTCTGACAATGTCAAGAAATCTGATGCCACTTCACCTATTTGTCACAGTATATGTACACATATATATGCGCATATATATTCTCGCTTTATTTCAGCAGATGTCAATTACCCAAGCATCTATAATTTATTTTAGGAACAGCATTTGATTGGGTCTCGGTTGGCTTAATGTTTTAATTACTGTCCAATCCACCGTGAGATTTCTCCCCAGAAAATGAAGGGAGCTAAAATCCTATACCATTTCCATAATTGGTGATTTTTAAGACCCAATCTATTGATTTTCCTGCAGTAAGAATCCCTTTGCTGCGATAGGTCCCTGGCTAACAACTGTTTCGGCCGTTAACGAAGGAAGAGGTGGAAGCGACGGCACCTTACGCGTGGGCGTTAGATGGCCGCGGTCCGTGGCGCTCCTCCGGGCCGGCAGGGGGCAGCACGCCGGGCGGGGGCGACAGG